CCTGTATTTAGTAAAAATAGTGCTGCTGCTTTGTTCTCAGGTTCACAAAAGCTGTAACAACCAGAATTGATGACAACACTGGTGAGAGGGAAATCTCTGTCAAAACTCCATTCCCTTTCAGTGAAGCCTATATGGGCTTCCCATTACATTTATTTATTATCTTCTAAATGAAAGTCAGTAGCTCACCAATCTTCCCTTTGTTCATTCAAATCAGTGGATGAAATGCATTGCACATAATAGAAGGAGAAATATTAATACAACTGTAGCATAGGAAAGCTTTTCCTTTCTTCTGAAAATGCTACCTGTGTGTTTATTACTATGTAGACCTGGTGAAGCATAGTGGCTCAAAATTTGATGTGTGAGTTCCCAGTTCAAATCACACATTCATTGGCCTTAGGTAAATTGGGAGTTCTTGGCCTTGGTCCCTCATCTGCAATGCCTCATCTGTAATAGTTGCAAAAAATACAGGGCTGTAGTAAAGATTACTGGCAAATGATACTACTGGTGGTTCTAATAGTGGCCTATATCTTGTCACTCCAGTCAGCAAGTTTCAAGCCTTCTTCCAACTTGTGTGATTCTTCTGTTACAGGGAGAGCTGCTTAAGGAGGAGGAAGGCTCCTTAGACTAGAAGCCTCCAAACTTTGCTGAGTGGAGTGGTAGGATACATGCCAGTACAACAAGGTTATCATTAGTGAACAGATATTAGATTAAAATTATTAAGTAGCATATATTAACCAAGATGAATGGTGAATGTATACTAATGGATGGGTAACGGTAGGGTTCAGAAATAAATCTGAAGAAACCTAAAATAGATTTCTCCAAAGCAAGGCATGAGAACATATTGACTATGGTGTAGATCTAAGAGATGTTTGGCTTCAAATCCTTGTTCGGCTATGAAGCTTATTGAGTCACTTTGGCCAGTCATACATGTGCTGTCTAACTTACCCTATAGAGGGAGCTATCCCTTACGTGAGCTAGTCTGACCTCTTTAGAGGAAGTATACAAATGTGGTAAATTATAAAATAAATGAACTCAGGAGTTATGCTAAAGGGAGGGTGGTGTTCAAGGGGCTTAATCAAATCATCTTAACATGAAAGTAATCCCAGGAGCATGTAGCAAGCATGACACTGGTTTTTTTTAATATGTGACTTCAAAATAATATAATTTGCAGGAAATTATGTTGAGCCTGACACAATCAAAATTACAGCTCATGGGGATACATGGTACTTTTTTCACAACATTGTTGTCCTCAAAATGAGACCCTGAAATGTGATTTAAAAGCCCTTGAGCTCCCATTTCATCTTGGCATGTGATCTATAAAAATCTCAAACCAGTGCATGCAGTCTTCATTGGGAAGGGTTTGCCTTCCTGCCTTTAGCAATTTTTACTTCCATCCCATGACTGAATTTTTTAACAATGAATGCTAGAAACTAACTTCTAGTATAAAATTGATACAATTCCACTCAGAATTGTACTGTGTTATTCAAAGCAAGTGTTTTATCACAGATCAACCAATGGTTTGATGTTCTGCAGTAAACAAAATCAGAGTCTTTATGTGATATGATTAAGATTCTTACAGTTTGTCATTACAGCATGGCAAATCAGATGCTCTACATCTGGAAGATTGACCCCCCAAATTTTCATCAATAAGGGGGTCAAACAGGGTTGCATGCTTGCACTCCTTCTTTTTAACTGTTTTTGGAGTGACCTTGCATCTTTTATGACTCAGGTGGATGGACATTGCCCGAAATTAGGTTCCATTCATGTACCAATTTTGTTATATGTTGATGATGTCGTTCTGCTCTCCTGTTCTTGGGTTGGTTTACTCCGTCTGCTGAATAGCTGTCAAAACTACTGTAACATCAATCAAATCAGTTAGAACTGAACTATGAGAAATCTAAAGTCTTGGCTTTTTCCAAATCCAGAAAGCAATTTGTCTGGAGAGTAGGTGATTGTGAGCTTGAACAAGTAAAAACTTTTAAGTATTTAGGCCTCCATTTTCTTTTTTCTTTTTTTTTGGTCCCCCCAAAGGGGAATTTTTTATTTTTTTGCATTGTCTACACACTACAATTATGGGATAGGGGAAGGGATACTAATACCCTAACACTAATGGGTGATGGGTAAAGGAGCTCTAATACATATATCTACTTGATAGGGAAAGGAAAACTAAACATTCTAATCTATTTCATCTACTGGATTTGGGGAAAGGAAGTCTAATACATGTCACGATCTGAATAGCTGAAAAAATATTGCTTTTTTACCTAATATTACAAGTTATACAAAGATTTGGTTCAATTATGATAGTACACATTTAATAACTTAACACAATTACTGCCTTTAGTACTATTGTCTTAGTTCTAGAGTCTTTTCTTCTTGCGTTTCTTGGTTTTCAGGAGTTTGGGAGCAGCCTCTCCTTTCTCCAATTCAGGTGATTCTGATGACGTGGAATTTTGGCTTGTTGAATCCTGTGAGTAGGATTCTTCTTCTTCTTCTTCCCCATCTGGTTTTGAATTCTTTTCCTTCTGCTTCTTTTTTATATTAAACATTTGATCCATACATTTTCCCGCTTTTGGAACAGAATCTATTTTATATTTTTTTTCCTAGTAGTTGAAGCTCAGCCCTTCCGGGAATAACCATCTGTATGGTATTCCCTTTCTTTGCAGAGTGAGAGTGAGCATCTTGTAGAGTTTCCTCCATTTTCTAACTTCAAAGGGGATGGGATGTCTTTCAAAATTTTTATGTTTTCATTCTTGATTTTTAAGGTTTTTCCCATTGTTGACTTTAGCACCAGTTCTCTGGTAGATCGTTTCGTGAATTTTAGGTAGATTTCCCCTGGGAGTTTGTTTTTCTTTATAAAGTCCGGATAAGTCCTATAAGCTACATCCATCTCTTTTATTAAATCTTCTTGTTTATAATCCATTAAATGGGCCAAGGCAACCACCAAAAGTTATTTTAAATCCTTGTTCTTCTCTTCAGAGATCCCATGAAAACGTAGAACGTGCATGGATCTTTCAAGCTGGAGCTGTATTAGTTGCGTTTTATCAGAGGAACTCTCCTTCTCTCTCAGTGTTGAGGTTCATCATCTGATCCGTTAGGGGGCGCAGTGCATTTGCTAACAGTGAAGAAAAGTCTGTAGTTAATTCCTGGTTCTGGGAGGGAGTCAGTGGTATGTTATTTCCGGTCACCAGTTTTTTCTCCGGCGCCCTCTGTCCTCTCCCAGCCATAATATCAACAAGAAGTAAGTTTTCCAAAACAGGACAAAAGTTATGCGATTTAATCCTGCTTTGTATACTTTAGCAGATGTTGCATTTGCTTAACTTCTTATGCGCTTCTTTTAGCTCAAAGTCTTTTTATTTCCGATTTAAAACCGTTTACTCAAAAGGGGGGGCCTTGAATTCCTCTCCCCCAGCACTTCAAACTTAGGTGCTTCCAATTACTACCAAGGTTCAGTTCGCTTTTTTCACCTGAGCTTTGCTTAACTCACAGTTTGGAGCCTTGGAGATCTTTTGGAAGCATGTTTAGAAGTTTGATCGTGATCGCTTGCTCCGGCAGTCATGTCTGGGTGCCATACTAGCTCCGCAGCGACGGTACCTTTCGGGGAAGAAGGTGAGCCTCAATTCCTTGGCCGTTGCCTTGGAAGAGGCTCTCCTCAGCTCCCCAGGCTGGGGGTCTCCTACAGAGACCCCGGGGAGGTTCGGGATGAACTTGGACCCCTCCTGTCAGCCAGGTCTCAGCGCGTCTCCATTAGAACGAGATGGGATGCATCCGAGCGGCGAAACACTTAAACCGGAAGTCTAGGCCTCCATTTTCAAGCCACTGCATCTTGGGCCTATCAGTGAAGAGTTGCAATTAACAACTCCAAAGTAAATATCAATGCACTCCTATGATTTTATTTTTCTGACCGAGGGAATCAATATGTACCGGCTGTGCTTAAAGTCTTTAACTTGAAAATAAGGCCCCAATTACTTTATGGTGTCCTTATATGGATTGACGCAGTAAACAAATCAATAGAACAGGTACATCTGTCCTTCTTACGGAAAATACTGGGCGTTCCATCTTGTGTCTCATATGCAGCCCTATGTTTGGAAAGTTGCCAAAAACTTATGACCACTAGGCCGTGGCTTGTGACCTTTAAATATTGGCTTCGGCTGCATTATAACTCTGACCCTTCCAGTTATATTTACCAGCTTTTAATGGAATCGGAGTCTTCACCTTGGCTAGCAACTATAGAGAGTAAACTGGGAACTCTGAATATTTCCCTTGAATCTCTCCTTTTACTTTCAGAATTGGAGGTGTTTCAAAAAATAAGGAACAGAGTACTGGAGATAGAGCTAGCCAATTTATACAATGCAACCAGTAAGACCAGCTCTCCTCTTAGCCATGGGATACTCCTTACTGTAGGACTTCTCCCTAGTTATTTTTACCAATTAAAAACCCAAAAATCTGCAGAATTTATTCTTTTGATAGGCTTAATGTTTTACTATCCACAATTTTAATTGGAAGATTCCAGGGTATACCCCTTATCAATAGACATTGCCCCTGTTTAAATTGAACTATTGGAACAGTATCCCATATGTTGTTAGAATGTCCTTATTATAGTAATATCAGACAAAGTATTTTATCTTCAATCTTATCCAGCATTATGGATTTTACTGATGCATATAAACTGTTGTTTCTACTTAACAACACTGATGACCATATAACTGATTCAGTGGCAAAAATTTTATATGTTGCCGTTTTTGTACCTTGGGATATTTTAATTCGTGATTCATTTTATGTTTAGTTCTTTTATGTATTTGCTCAGTGTTCTCCCTTTTATAATGCCAATAAAGGTATGATGATGATACCCAGTAAAAAAATCAGAGTCTTTATGTGATATGATTAAGATTCTTACAGTTTGTCATTATAGCATGGTGTTGGAAAATGTGTTATGATGGAGGGATGGAGGGATGGATGGATGGATTTTCTCTTCCATTTAATCTTTTTGCTTTCCCTTTCAGGAGTTGGAATTCTCCAATCTGTTTGCAGTCCTGCATTGTATCCATTCATTCTTTGCTGCCAAAGTGGCATGTTTGGACCCACTTTATGTTGGCAGTCAAGCCACAGCATCTGCTGCTGCTACGGCTGCTGTTGCTACATCTTCTGGCGCTAACAAACTGAAGTATACAACTTGAAATCTCCTATTTCTGCACTTGCCACTTTCCAAGAATATAGAACACTATGTATAAATATTCATTGGCCTAGCCCTTTGAAGAACAGCAAGCGTGAGATCCATCTCAACTGAGTGGCAGTTTTCAGCAGTATGTGGTCGCATGGGGTCATTAACTAAATCCTAATTTTGCAAGGCACTGGAACACAATCCAAGAGGAAATACCTGAATTGAACAAATATGTTTTAAGTATGATCTGATTGTGCTTTGAATGACATTGGAAACAGAAGGAACAAAAAACAAATGACCCAACATGGCACTTAAGTATTTAGTACAAATTTCAAGTCTCCATAGTAGTACACAAGGAATTGTCATTTTCTTGTTTACCAGTGTTTTATATGACAACACAGTGAGCTCTGGATCAGAACAAATGTCCTCTTGTTAGGCTATAGGTGACATCATTGCAAGCAAAGGCTCAACAAAGAAATGAAAAGATGCTCCTATATTTACTTAGCAAAGAAAGCACCTTAAATGTTGTTGCAAATTCAGATCTGTGCCCTTTTTACATCATTCTTTATTTTGCTTTCCCCCCATAATTGTAATAGTAATTATAAAAATATAGCCATAAATTAGTACAACCGTTTTTCTAAGGATATGTAAGCATAATTAAGCCATCTGCTCAAAGCCTATAATACTTAAGCCACTGTAACATTTTAGCCTGGTTCTCACAAACATCTGAACAAGTGGTAAACTTGAGAGAGGACTGAGTTCACTTCAGATGGCAGTTGCAGCTCACAAGGTGTCATGCAAAAAAATTGCCTTGCATTTAGAAAATGAGATGTTGTGGAGAATAGTTATAGCATAGCTTTCTCCTTGACATGTTAATTTTCTGTGTGTATGTGACAAATTTCTAACACGTGAGTTCGCACCTGCAGACTAAAGTGGTAAAGTATGGCCACAGGTACACCATTATATCTGCGAATTGGGAATTGTTCCATTGAGATAGTGGAACTATACAGAATTAGTGACTTGAGGATCGTGGCCTTAAACTGAAAATAAAAGTATTTCTAGATATGTATTCCTTTTTGTTTTTGAAAATCTGTTACACTCAGTGTAATTTCATTTATGGATGAATTACAAGCCAATGTGAAACCTGTTTAGTTATTTCTTTTGCTGGTCATTTTTATAGGGTAGTGTCTTAATCTGCCAGGCCATTATCAATTCCCAAGTATTACATTTTGTTACAGGCACAATAAATGTTGCACAAGGCTTCACTTTTAAATCTGATTTTCATATCTCCAACTGGAAACCAAGGAATGGAACTCATTTATTTTTTCAGTGATTCAGAGCTGCTAAAAATAACATTATAAAAATAAAGATTTATTTCATTAAATAGAACAATTTTCCCCCTTCCAATTTTCTGCAGTAAAACTTGGAAACCGTACAATTGTTATGATGGAGTTCCCGTCACCCCAGTGTTTGTATAACAATGAACACATAAGGCAAGACCATATATATTTTAAATGATTTGATGATGAATGTACAATCAACAAGCAGTATCTTTTGCTCTCTAATATATAGGCAGTGCACATAAAACTGAAGAGGTTCCAAATAATTCATTCATAATGAGCCATTATGAAGTATCTTCGTAAATACGTTTTGTTTTGTCCTAGACAAAATGGGCACAATCTAGTATTCAGTTAACTGTTCTTAGGCTCAATATTAATCACTGCTACTTAATGTGCTCAACCCTTTAGATTCCATTCTTTTGGCCTTGAAGCATAAAAGGTCACAGAGAGATCCATCCACACAATGGAGCTTTTCATTTTCCTCAAAATTCGACATTTGAGCTAGTGGAAGTGTACAATGGGTAGTCACTTGAGGATCATGGGCTTAAAGTTACAAACCTTTGACTTCTAAAAACTTCCCCTCCCTATAAAGCATCAGATGCTTTCCTAGAGTATTGCTTAGGAAAGTACTATAAAGCTTCATTGCCTTTGTATGAGTCCATGAACATACATAATGACACCCTGTAGCATAAGGCATTTAACAGCCAAATGTTCAAATACAATTATTATCTGGTATGGATCAATGCTATCTTAAATAGAAGCTTGTAACTCAAAATATTCACCTGATGTATCTCATATAAATTATATCACAGGATGGTGACATGCTAAAATTAGGGTTGCCAGATCCCCCCTGGCCAATAGCAGGGGATGGGGGTGTAGGGTTGCCAGATCCAGGTTGGGAAACTCCTGGGGAGGACAGGGACCTCAGTAGGGTACAATGCCATAGAGTCCATTCTCCAGAGCATCATTTTCTCCAGAGAAACTGATCTCTGTAGTCTGGAGATGAGCTGTAATTCTGGGAGATCCCCAGATCCCACCAGGAGACTGGCATCCCTAGCTAACGTTTAGGTATGTCTGCAATATATTTATGCATTAATTGTTCCATTATTTCTATTTACTGGCTCTTGCATCAGGGTAGGTTCCCTGACTTGTCAGAAAGTGCTGTTGTTAACAAGTGGATATACAGGATCCAACCCATTTTGAAATTAGTTTGATTTGGTTTGCTTGTGTACCATTTGCACCTTTGGAACATTATAAATTGCTTTTGAAACAATCGTGCTTAAAAAAATTACCAGAGATAACAGTGCTGCTATTTAAGTATAATCCGTATGCCCGTCTATATACCTTTGAGCCAGTAGTAACATAAGTACAATACCTTTATTTGGTTTGCTTGTGTACCATTTGCACCTTTGGAACATTATAAATTGCTTTTGAAACAATCGTGCTTTAAAAAATTGCCAGAGATAACAGTGCTGCCATTTAAGTAAAATCCGTATGCCCGTTTATATACCTTTGAGCCTGTAGTAACATAAGTACAATACCTTTATCGGCATAGTAAATTTAACTGTAGTAACATGTTAGGTCCCCCCTGCATCTCATGAATGAAGGCTTTCTGAACCAGTCTCTGCATATCTGCACAATGTCATAACAAAAACGGGACCACGGTGTCAAGAACCATAACCAGACAAAAGCACACCATGTCACCACTCAACTCTATACATGTAGCTTCAAAGACTATTTGTTATATGACAATAAAGAATATTTAATCAATATATATAGTGTCAATCACTATCTAAATATAATTAATTGTGAAATATTAAATGATATGTAAATAATAATTCCATTAAATATTGCACTGTCAAATATTCATAGCCACCAGTCCCAAAAGATTGCTCAACTAAGTTTCAGCAGACCAAATTATCATGAATTCATGAGAGTCTTTCTATTTAATACAACTGGTATCACAAATTCATCATCATCATCATCATCCTCCTCCTCCTCCTCCTCCTCCTCCTCCTCATCATCATCATCATCATCATAGATTGGATTTATACCCCGCCCTTCACTACCCGAAGGAGTCTCAGAGCAGCTTACAAACTCCCCTCCCCCTCCCCACAACAGACACCCTATGAGGTAGGTGGGGCTAAGAGAGCTCTGACAGAAACTGCCCTTTCAAGGACAGCTCTTATCAGAACTATGGCTTGCCCAAGGTCATCCAGCAGCTGCAAGTGGAGGAGTGGGGAATCAAACCCGGTTCTCCCAGATTAGAGTCTGCACACTTAACCACTACACCAAATTCTACTACATATGACTGGCATCCAATTTATCTGGATGATTCACAGCTGACATGTATAATTTGCAACCAAAGAAAATCACTTGCAGATCTTAGTTCTGCTTTTCCAGGTTGTCAGGTAATCTGATTGTCGTCCCTGTTTCTCATATACTTCTTCAGAAGCCACAAGCTTTGCACTCAACATCTTCATATACTCAGCACAAGTCCTCCAAATATTGTTACAAATAGATACCTTGTGCTCAAAGCAAGTTTGCCCAATCTCACCCCTTCGCCTGGCGCATATATGACTCTTCCTTCTAAAAGTTCACCACCATATGACAAATAGTCTTTGAAGTTACATGTATAGAGTTGAGTGGTGACACGTGTTTTTGCCTATTTACGGTATTTGCACGATATCTGCAGATCACACATTTAAGGGCATCAGACATGCAATAAATGCATGATTTCCCCAAGAGCTCTTGTTTGCCCAATATTGTTACAGGCATGACTGTCCAAACTAGTCTCGGACTCAGTCTTTTGAATCCTGTACTGTGCTTCTGGAATACTGTGAAATTCAGAGTTTAGACATAATGCAGTGAATTATCACAACACAGTGATCGGCTAACTCCCTTTGGCTTTATTCAGAATGGGATAATCTAAAAGCAAGATATTTGTTTTTTTTAAAAAAAATCAGGAAATAACTCACTTCCAAAGTTGGGACTTAGTTACACTCTTCTTGGCATTGGGAGTACAACATGGTCCACAGCCTTCATCAAAATCTCCCCTCTCAAGCTGCTGACCAGCCTCCACAGCAACATTCTTCTCCCCTGCCACACACTCATCCCTTGAGTATTTCACTAGCGGCATCCCAGTACAAAGAAGCTGGCACATTTCATGTTCAGAGTTTCACATGTAGGAAGGTATCATCTTACATAAGTCTCTCAGAGAGGCCACTGGTGAGACCTTGGAACCATGAGATAAGTGGGAAGGGAAAGAAGCAGCAGCACTGTTAGGAACACATGATGGCACTGAGGAACTGCTTGAGAACAGGGTCTAAACTCTGTTGGCATTTGGGCTCAGTTTATAATCATTTATCCCTCTCTCACACAGAGGCACCTCCCACACATGAATGTTCATTCATCATGCCAGTTAATACATCAGATCTACTGTGTGAGTCCATGTTATATTGTTTTAATTACAAATTCAGAATAATCTGAGAGAGCATGGGTAGTTCATATGTCTAGGATATCTTGGTTTCTAGCTTCTGGTAATTCATTTTGCTTTTTGTATTCAAAAGTCCCAGCTGTAAAAATTTGTCACTAAACACATGTATTGTGATTAGAATTGAGGGCTGACACCAAAATCTTACTCATTGACTTTAGCTGAAATAAGAAAAGGCCACATAAAGCTCTGAGCATGGCTGGGTTTTGTTATGTGTTGCTACTTCTAATGCATTTAAGTTGATCACTAAGATTAGCATTTGTTAAT